CGCAAAACTTGATACCTATATAGATAGAATGGTCTGAAAAATGGACTTACATATTTGCTTGCATACTGCTTTTCATTTTTCAGTTCTTCTGGATCTTTTATAATCACTTTTTCCATAAATCCTCCTGATGCAAAAAAAAAGACATACGACTAAAAATCGTATGTCTCCATAATAGATTTATAAAATTGAAATCTCACGCAAGGTTCAAAAGGTTATGACAAGGGTAAGCAAGATTTTGGCAAGGTTAGTCTAAAAACGGTTTTTCATCCTCTTTATTTCTGCTTTTTGCCTGATAAATTGAATTTAATGTTATTTTTGATCCATCTGTTTGCAATATATTTTTGCAAATAAAATTGTTCTTAATATCGTAAATATCTCCCTGCTCTTCTCTCCACTTTACAAAGCTTTTAATTGGACCAGCTAGTTTATACTTTCCATCTTCCTTTAAAAGCTGCCCTTCCTGAACAAGTTCTTCAAGAATTTTTAAGTCTTCAATTTTAATATCTTCAGAATCTACTTGAATTACATCTTCTTTTAATTCTCTCCAAAGTTGATCCAATTTTTTGAACACTTCATTTGTCCTCACTGGAAAATAAAATATCCTTTTCTTAGGATTTTTCTGCTTTCCTGAAATCACTCTTCCTACATTTATATTTCTCAATAAGGACGAAAAACAAGCCGCTGAAAAAACAACTCCTACTGCTGCAAGAAAAAAGGACTTACATATAATAGATGCTACAATAAAAACCATTCCAAAAAACAATGCAAAGCCAGAAAAAGAAATATACCAGTTTTCTCTCTGTCCTGTTCTACGAGTAAAGCATCTTTTTTCAAATTCATCCAAAACAATTTGAAAATCTGAATCCGTTAATTCATTTCTGTCCTTTGTATCAATTATCCGTTTTAAATCTGAATTGCAGCCGTTAAAAATATGCGAATGATGTGTATAAAAATCTTCATACTGTTCATACGGATATTTTCGCTGATACAAAATCCCATCTTTTGAACAATGAACTTTTAGAAAAGCCAGATAAAACTCATAAACCCCAGTTTTATCATTTTTACTACTATCTTTTATTTCAAAATCCTGCATATAACTCCACTTTTTCCTATTTATTTAGGTTTTCTTGTTCTTCCTTAATACGCATTTTTTTATTTGTTTCCCATGCAGTTATATCATAATACAATTCATCAAGCTCTTTTCTTTCTGCATCTGTTAAAGTTTCAAAAAGAACATAACTTCGATTCTCTAGTTCCTGAATACGACGTTTCTTTTCTGCAATTTCTCTTGGCGGGCGGCCGCCGAATTTTCCATTCGATTTTGAAGATACGGCTTTTTTAGGAGAAGCTTTTCCCCTATTCTTATAAAGAATTTCATTTGCAGACTTCAAGGACACCATTTCACGAGCAATTTCTTCTGCCTGATGAAATACAGTATCAAGATCTTCTCGCTTTACATATATACGAGTCTTTCCTTGAACTTCATCATAAAGTGTCTCTAATCTTGCTCTAAGCTGATCTGTTTCTTTTGTAAGATGGTCAATGTGATCATCCATCATCTGTTTTACTGATTCCATAGCTTTTATTTTACCTAAATATATAGGTTTTCTAAATACCTCACGCAATTTATTTCACCAGGTATGGAAAAAAATTTCAGGACCTGGAACAAGTGTTATACAAAAAGCTGCTGCTGCTGCATTTTGTATAACAAATAAAAAGAACAAAAAAGAAAACTGTTTGATCTATGCTGGGGAAGTGTCCCCAGACCCCACCTGCCGCGGTGAAGCTTCGCTTCACTCTTGCCCTTTGTGATTATAAAAAAAGGACTAAATACCGATAAAAAAAGTAACTGACTACGCCAGTAAAAAAAGTCAGTTAGTTAGTCTAGTAATACCAGGAGAACCCAAAAGGCCTACAGCCTTTACAACCTGATTTACAAATCTCTCACTTAAAGGATCATCAGAAGGAACTAATCCCACAACTTCGGCTCGAGAAGCTGCAGCTTTTTCTGCTTTCGCTTTTTTCTCGGCTGCAATCTTCTTTACTGCCCTATTTACTGTGTCAGTAGAAAATCCATCACCTAAAACTCTGGAAATCTCTCTGTTTGATGCATCAGGATGTTTCTTAAGATACTTCTTAATATCTTTCACTTTCTTGGCCGCTTTCTTTTGACGAACAAGCAAAGATCTTTCTCTGTCAGCCTCGTCATACATAGCTTCTTTTGCCTTTACTGGATCAATATTTGCATAGGTCCAGACTGCAATTGATTCTGCAATCTGTGAACATTCTCGTTCATCCATAGATGGCCGGTTACTTGCATTTACTGTCTTTACAAGAGCATAGGTCCAGTCTATGAGTTCTTTTTCTGAGCAATTTGTATTTCTTCTGTGGGAATAAGCTTTAACTCTGCAGTAATCAAAGGTTTCTGAGTTTCTAGATCCTGAATCAGCTCCTGAGAATTGCCCTACATCTTCCATCGTTATTGTTGCTGCAGCAGTTCTAGATCTTCTTTTCTTGGCAGGAGTCTCATCTATCCAGTTAATATCAAGATGGCTTGCAAGTTCTGATAGATCATACAGTTCTTTTCTAAGTGAAATTGTCTGCCACATTTCATGAATAGGGTTTTTACAGAGAACTTTATTGAAATGAACATCTGCATCAAGTTTCTTGCAGAGAGCCTTGTAAACGGCTTTAGCGTATTGCATTGGTCTTGAGGATTTGAATTGAAATTGAGAATAAACTGCCTGGTTTAATCCATACCACAAATGAGAATGGCCGTTTTCTGGATTTACTACAACAAAATTCGGAATAGGGGCATTACAATCATAGATCTCAGAGATATTAAAATCACGATCTACATCGAACACTAACCATTTGAGATTGAATTGTGTATTTGGCTGAATATAAGGATAGGTAAGAGCTTCATCCAGGTATCTGTTTCTATTCTGCTCCTGGCCCTTATTAAAAGCACTGCGAATTTTTAAATATTGGGATTGTTTTCCTATAAAATAGGACGATTTGAGTTGAGTTTGTAATGCCGCTGCCGATGTCCCAATAAATGAGTTCACTTTTTTTCGATTCCCACCATCATTTTAATATACCGAAGTGCCACAGAATGACACATCAATATATTTTTCCCCAACGGTAAGAACCTCGGTATTACATAAAAAAAGAACTTAACAAATCGATATTGAGTTTTACTCAATATAACCAGTTTCGTATCCGTCAATATATCTGCCCCTAGAATAAAGCAGTACATTTCTGAAACGAAACAAATATCAGCATTATTCCAAATGCCTATACTGGCAATCGGAAAACGTCTACAATCAGACCAATGCCAATATCAACTTGTTAAGTTCTTCTTAATTATTCTAGGTATGTAAAAAACGGGGTTCTAAGCCGTTGCCTATATTATCGGTCAAATCTTGCAAAAAATCAATAACCAAAACTAATAAAAGCTGCTGCAGTAATCAGTAAAAGCTATAAAATCCAAGAAATAACCATTCAAGTTATGTTTACAATATAGTTCTGCTGCAAAGAAAAAACAGTACCATATTCAGGCAATTTTGGTCGAATTTTAGGGAATTTTGGTCGAATTTCCGGTAAAAAATGTACACCTTCAAAAAAGGCCCTAGAAACGCTTCAAAACGAGTGGGTAGGGTAATTACACGTTTTTTCTCAAACACCCCCCTTAAAACGCTTCTATTTGCGTCCTCTATTTTATATAAAGAACTTTCTCTTTATATTCTTTATGTATATAAAGAACTTTCTCTTTATAATCTCTTTATGTATATAAAGAAGTTTCTATATATATTCTTTACATTTTTTAACTTTGCATTTATAATGAAAATTGAGATTTTGAGAAGGAGTCATCTTTATGAAAACAATCTGTTTCTATAACCACAAAGGCGGAGTCGGAAAAACAACTCTTACTGCAGCAATTGCAGGTGAACTCATAACAAAAGGAAAGAAAGTAATTCTTGTTGATACAGATAGCCAGGCAAACCTTACAAGCCAGTTCTATCCTGCAGATCCTGATTCTATGGAATATGAACTTGCAGATTACCTTTATGACAATTCCATCGGAATAGCAAATATCGTATGCAGAACTAAATACGATGGTCTTTTCCTGGTTCCTTGTAAAAAACTTTCTGCAGGCGGAAAACTCGACAAATGGGCCAGAGGTGAAGCAACAGAAATTGAAAATCGTAATGCCATCAAGAATTTCATTGCAGAATTAGCAAGTTTATCTCCTGACTTCATTCTGTTTGATATGCCACCATCTTATTCTGAACTTGATAAAAAAGTGCTTCTCGGATCTGATGAAGTAATCCCAGTTCTGCAGATTGATAAATACTCAATTGATGGATTATCAGACTTCTTCCTTCTCCTGACAAAACTCAAAAGCGGTGATCCAAAGCCAGTTCTTGAAAAACTCATCTTCAATAACTACGACAAGAGAAAAGCCGTTCAGAAAAGTCTCATTACAACAATTGATGAACTCACTCTCAAAAAATATAAGGTCCCTAATGATGAAATCTTCAAAAAAGCAGCTCTGCAGCAGAAAGCAGTTCAGGCTTTGGACCGCATGAAGCCAGATACAACAGAAGTTTTGGAAACAATCGTAAACGATATTATTGGAGAATAATAAAATGGCAAAATTAAAGGAAAGTGAAGCTTTAGCTACTGCAGCTGCAGGAACTGCTGCAAAATTAAATATCATTAATCAAGCAGTTGAAACAGAAACAAAGGCCAGGGAAGAAAAGAAGAACGATGAAAAAGAAAAGGTTCTCTTAAACTTCTATATAAGTAAAGCCAAGAAAAAGGAATATGAAAAACTCTTTGGAGCAGAAGGATTAAGTCTTTCACATGGAATTAGAATGTGCCTTGATTATGCTGCACTTCAAATTTCAGCCGGAAAGCTTATAATTTCTGATTCAGGAATCCATGAAAACATCCTGAATAACCTCAAATAATCTAAATATATAGGTTTATTTTAGATGAGAATAACAAGCATTGTACTAAAAACAGTATTTTTCCATGACGAAAACTATAATTACAAGCCGTCTGCCCAACAGTATGATTATCTCTTTGCCTGGTTCCCGGAAATTTTTACAGATGGTGAAAAAAAGATAAAGAAAAATTGGCGAAGATTATTACATGGAAAAAACATTACAAGAAACCAATATCTCAAACTAAAAGAAACAAAACTTAATTCTTTAGAAGATTCTAAACTCAGCCAAACAAGATTGAATTGGAAAAGGGTAGAGTATGCCATCAAAGAATGTGAAATAGAAACTGGTCATGCTCCTGCATTCGTTCATAGAGCTTTTCTTAGAAGAGTATTCAGTCTGATTGGTGCAAAAATCATTGATGTTTCTATAGAAGAAAATGGCGATACCTCAGTTGTATTTGATTATTATGGAAAATTTCTTCAGGCAGAATGTGTAGAAGAACCTGGAATTCTTCCTGGGGAAGATTCCAGACTTAAACTTTATCTCTGGACCTCAGTAAATGAAAAAATTGACTGCACTGGCACTGACATTAGAGAAGCAGTTGAAAAATATATCGCCAATGGTGAATTCACAAAGATTAAATCTCGTTCCTTAAAAATTGGAATGAAACATTTGAACACAATTCAGACAAAATGGCGACCACGTTATCTTAGGATAGAAAACATATATACCGGTAAATCAGGAAAGCTCATTCAGCCGGCCATCGTTCTGATAAATCAGAAAAAAGAACCAGTAGCCGTTATGACTCCTGGTGAAGACTGCGATGCCTGCATGGAAAGATCCAGAGAATTTGCAGAAGAATTAGGTGTAAATTACGCATTCAGCACAAATCTTGAAATCTATAAGCTGCATGATTTCGCAAAAGATAAAGATACAGAAGGTCCTTTTGACGAACTTCCACCTCATGAATGGGTTTGGAACTGGGATCAAACTGTAAAAGAAAAGGCTGCAAAGAAGAACAATCCAAAGGCAAGATTCAATCCTGCAGAAATGGCCATTGAAGAGCTTCTTGCAAAGCTTGAAGAAAAAAATAAGAGAAGGGCAGAGCATGATCTACCACCTTTGAACTTGATGGAATACATGAAGTCAAAAGGGTATAGAACTGGTGAAGTAAATGCAGACTGGCCAGAAACAACCAAAGGAGATAAATAATGAAGAAAAATAATATTGAAAACCCTACATACATAAGTTTATTTAGCTCTGCTGGTGTTGGTTGTTATGGATTCAAAAAAGCAGGTTTTGATTGCATTGCAACAAATGAACTTATAGAACGAAGATTAAATGTTCAACGTAATAATAATAAGTGCAAATATGAATCAGGTTATATCTGTGGAGACATAACTACAGAAGAAACAAAAAAGCTTATTTTATCTGAGATAAAAAGATGGGAAAAAGACGGACTCAAAAATGTGGATGTTGTTATTGCAACTCCACCATGTCAGGGAATGTCTGTTGCAAATCATAAAAAGTCAGCTACAGAAATAAACAGAAATAGTCTTGTTGTTGAAAGTATTAAAATTATAAATGAAATTCATCCTAACTTTTTTATTTTCGAGAATGTTGCTGCATTTATGAAAACTGGATGTACGGCCCCAGACAAAACAATAAAAGAAATAGGGACCGTTATTTATGAAGAATTAGGATCGGATTATATTATTTCCCATAAAATTCTAAACTTCAAAAACTATGGAAGTAATTCTTCTAGAACAAGAACCATAGTTATTGGAGTTTCAAAAAAATATGCAGATTATATAGCACCTATTGAACTATTTCCTAAATATGTCGAAGAAAAGACATTAAGAGACATTATCGGAAATATGCCAAAACTTGAATGGGGTGAATTCTGTCCTACAGATTTCTATCATCAATTCAGAACCTATGATGAAAAAATGAGGCCTTGGATTCATGATCTAAAAGAGGGGCAGGGAGCTTTTGAAAATGAAGATCCTATGAAAAGACCTCACCAAGTCGTTGATGGAAAAATCATTCAAAACGTTCAAAAAAATGGAGATAAATATACTCGCCAATACTGGGATAAAGTAGCTCCTTGTATTCATACAAGAAATGATCAGTTAGCAAGTCAAAATACAATTCATCCATGTGAAGATCGTGTTTTTTCAATTAGAGAACTTATGAAAATCATGACCATTCCTGAGGACTTTAGATGGACCAACAAAGATCTTTCAGAATTAAACAGTCTTTCACTTGCAGAAAAGACTGCTATTCTAAAAAAAGAAGAAATAAATATTAGACAATCTATAGGCGAAGCAGTTCCTACAAATATCTTTTTCCAAATAGGTTGCAATATAAAAAATTTCATAAATCAGCAACACTTTGATACTCAAGAAATAAATAGAACAATCGAACAAAATAATTTAAAGGATGTTCCCAGGCTTAAAGAATATCTAAAAAAAAATCCTGAAAATCTAGATTTTTCTTGCTTATCAAGAATTGCAGAATTGACTAACAGTAAAAGAGAAAATAATTCTGCATACTTTACTAATAAGTTCATCGTAAATGAAATCATGTCCTCACTTCCAGATACAAGCCTGGAAGAGCTTCATATATTGGAGCCATCTGTTGGAATAGGAAATTTTCTCCCTCCACTTATGAGAAAGTATGAAGACAAACAAGCAGTAACAATTGATGTTTGTGATATTGATCAGAATTCTTTAGATATTGTTAAAATATTGTTAGAAAAAATTGATATTCCAAACAATATTACTCTCAATTTCATTTGTGATGACTTTTTATTGCATTCATTCAACAAGAAATATTTTTTAGTTATAGGAAATCCTCCATTTACTAAAGTAGATGCAAAAATAGCTAAGCCATATCTACAAAACAACACAAACAAAGATACAACAAATCTTTTTGAGTTTTTCTTAGAGAAATCTGTTTCAATAGCAAACTATGTTGCAATGATTACTCCTAAGAATTTATTAAACACACCAGAATTTAAGGTCACAAGGGAACTCCTTTCTAAATACAAAATTGATTGTATTCAGGATTTTGGAGAACAAGGTTTTAAAGGAGTTCTTGTTGAAACTATTTGTACTTTTATTGATACAAATGGAAAACCTGGTAAGACAGAAATTATCTCAACAACAATGAATAAAAGGATTATTCAAAAACAAGATTATATTTTTGATAACAAATATCCTTATTGGTTAATTTACAGAGATTCTAATTTTGATATGGTTGCAGATAAATTAGAGTTTAATGTTTTCACTGTATTTCGTGATCGCCAATTAACTAATTCAAATACAAGTTTAGAGAAAAACTCATCTTCCATTAGAATTATAAAATCTAGAAATATAGATGATCTGGGGGTAAATCTAATTGATATTCCTGGATATGATTCTTTTGTAGATAAAGATGTGCTCAACTCATTTTCAGTCAGCAAATATTTAAACGATAATAATGTTTTTTTAACTCCAAACATGACTTACAAACCTAGAGTCATGAGAAAACCAAAAGGCGTTTTAGTAAATGGCTCTGTTGCCATTCTTATTCCAAAGATAAATCGTTCTATTTCTGATGAACAATTAGTCTTCTTTTCTACACCTGAATATAGAACTTTTTATCAAATTGCAAGAAACTATCAAACAAGATCTCTCAATGTAGATGCTTGTTCCGTATATTTTTATGGATTATTAAAATAAAAAAAGGAGAAAAAAATGCTTACAGAACAAGCAGTTATTGATTTCTTATCTCAAAATGATTATGACGTTAGAACTTCCCATAACGGTAGATGGATTGATCAGAAATGTACACCAGACGTTCTCTCTTTTCAGGCTGATTGTATTTATAACTATGTCATGGAACATCCTGGTCAACCATTTTATACCAAGGATATATGGTTTAATGATTATGCTATTGATAATACAATGGCTATTTTTAAAAAGCCAAGTCCAACAACAGACAAAGCTAAAAATGAATATGATAAGTTTTTTGGACAACCTTTAAAACTGCTTGGATATTCAAAAGTTTTAAATGAAACCAAAGATGGCAATAAAAATGTATATACCGTTAATAATTTAGAATTATTAGAATACATTGCAATCAGTGAACGAAATGCTTTGAAATTCCTATTCAGATACATTGAAAAAGTATTATCCGACAGTGGATTATATTCAAGTTTTGATAATTATTTCTCAGAACAAAGAAGATATTTGAGTAACAAAGATCGGATGCAATCTTTATATCTGAATGTAAAAAATGACTTTTACCATTTCACAAAAAGATATACTCCAATAAACAAAGACTTAGAATGTGGCCGAATTTTTACAAAAGTAATTAATCCTTTAGCTTATTTTTACAATGCTTGTGGTACGGAAGGCGGCCATGTATCTAAAGATATGATTACATTTGATGTATTAATGTATAATCGAAATAATTTTAGGGATATTTATGCTAATAAACCTAAAGGTATAACAAGAAAAGAATATGCTAGTGAAAATCCTATCCAGATCAATGAACAATACTACGAATATCAATCTAATAAAGCAAAGAAATTTCTTCGTTTATTTAATGATCAATACAGAAATAGTCAAACAGAACATTTAGAAAGTGCTCACTTAAGTGATCAAGCTATACATATTCATCATATCTTCCCAAAAGCTATGTATCCAGAGATTTGTTATTATCTTGAAAATCTTATAGCCCTAACTCCAACTCAGCATTATAACTATGCCCATCCAAATGGTCATACACAAGAAATAAATGTTACATACCAAAAACTATTATTACTTTCAAAAGCTGATAGAATAAAAGAGAACCTTTTAGAACATTATGGTGAAAATGTTGAAAAGATTTACGAATTCTCAAGATTCTTACATGTGCTTAGTGTTGGATTTGATAATGATGATGTTGAAAGTATTGATGATATGGATTTCCAATCAGTTATGAATGCTATCAATGTTCACTATGCTGATATAGCTTAAAATTAGATTATGGCAAAACACAAGGAATACAGTAAAACATTCGGAATCTTCTATGACAACTTCCGCAGATTCTGCAGAGAAATGGCCGCAGCAGGGGAGTTGTCTGATCATCCTGCAGAACAGTTCAGAGATTTTTTCCTGAAAAACTATGCCCAGAGCATTGATGATGCAACGTCCTTTCAGTTATTCGTTAGAGACGTTCATCACGAACTGGTCCATATTTATATGACGGATGCACACCTGCAGAACTTCTTGAAGCAGGCAGAAGTTAAGGATCTTTCAGGAATCAAAAAATACATTGCTGATAACGGCTCAAGAGTTATTGTCAATGAAGATGATGAAATGCAGCATCTTTCAGAAGGTTCAAATCTGGCATTCTGTCTACACATTCCTGATGAACGCCAGGGCTATGTTTTCTGTTATTCTCTTTATGAAAATGAAGAGCTTCGCATTTTTGTAGCACATGGAATGGAACAATTCCATCTTTCAAGCATTGATTATGAAAATAAAAATTCCATCGTTTATACAGATCCTGAAATAAATGAAATTGCTCATTTTGCAATAAATATGATTGCTTACATAAGCTGCTTTCCGGACTGTCTTACTGATGGAGCACCTCATGGAATTAAAACTGAAAACAACCATCGTTTGGCCACATCAGAAAAGGTCCTAGATCTTCAGGAGCCATCTGCAGGCGGAATTGTAAATCCACATTTCCGTAGAGGTTATTTCAAACGACTGGAATCAGATTTCTATAAAAATAAGAAAGGACAGATTATTTTTGTTCATGAAACTGTTGTAAATGCCCAGGCAAAAACGTTAGAATAGTGTATAAGAAAACCTAAATATTTAGGTTAGTAGACAGAATTACCATTATATACAGTCAGGATTTAATCTAATTTTTTTCTGAAATGACTATATTATATATGAGCAGAAAGAAGAAAAAACGATTTAATCTAAATGATTATTCCTGGTTAATAGTTTTAATTGTAGAAACTATCAGATGGATTATTGATACTTTAAAAAAATAACGCAACCTAGACTGTTCTAGATTGCGTTATTTCCATTTTATTCATATATCCATACATAATTTTTCAGATTTAGAGAGTTAAAATTTAACGATCCATTGAATAATCAACTTTACGGACCTTAGTTTTCGTTATTTCAGGATCCTGAACAATTCTTTCTCTCAGGTCCTGAAAACTT